AAATTGATTGCTTAAAAATAAAAACTATGTTTCAACCTTTATACAAAATAATTATTCTTATTTTAGTTTATTCATGAATGGTCTATTAATTATATTTTATTATTTTATATTATATTAATAAATTTGCAGTGTACCTAAAGATGCAGCACGCCGTAAGAAGTGGGTGGAAATAATAAGGTTGTTAAGAAAGGAGACTGACTGGGTGCCTTCTAAATCTACTGTCATTTGTTCTAAGCACTTCCGGAATCAAGACATACTTGAACCAAAAAGCGATTGCGGCCGTGTTCATTTGTCTAACGAAGCAATTCCAATGATTGTAGTAAGTAAATGTTTAATAAGGTAGTTAATTCATATTGTCACAACATAGGTAATATTTGTCAAAAATACCTTTTCTTAAACTCAATATTCACTCATTCAAACACACACACACACACACACACACACACGTTGTGCACACGACTAATGCTTTTTCTCATTCCTTGATTTTCGTTTACTGCATGTTAGTTAATTGTTAACCAAATTTTATTGAAAGCACTGGTTTGTACAGGTACTGGTTTCTCACATATACAGTTATTACAACTAGTTTAGAAGCCAGGGTTCCATTTAAATTGTTAAAAGATTTGTGGCAAATAAATAATTTATTTATTTATTTAAAACTTTTATAGCAATGTGTAATGCAAACTAAATGTTTTTATCTTAGTTATCAGGTTAATCATAATGCTATTTTGACTACAATAATTAATGGATATTTTTCAGGACGAACCTCATTTTGAAAAGCCGGTAGAACTTTTAATAGAAGAAAATATGGATTTTGATGTTATGGAAACAGATGAAGAGATAGATGAAATAACTGAAACACCGCGAAAGCATAAAATGAGAAAAATAATTCACCGTTTGAAAATTGTATCCACACGAAGACTAAATAAAATAAAAAATATATCACAGAAAATTAAAAGACTAAAAACAAAAAATAAAAAGTTAAAAGATGTTATCAAAGAACTGAAAATAAAACGTATGTTGAGCGAAGAAGAGGAGATGCAGCTAAATTTGAATGGAGAAACCGTGCAATTGATGGAAGAATTTAAAAAATCCTTCGAACAGAAAAGAACTTTTAATAAATTTCCTTATGTGTTAAAGAAATTTGCATTAACATTAAACTTTTACTCCCCTGCTGGCTATAAATATGTTCGATCTGCATTCAGCAACGCATTACCGCATCCAAGAACACTAGTTAATTGGTATAGCAAAATTAACGGGGATCCTGGATTTATGTCAGAGGCTTTTAATGTTCTTAAGGTCAAAAGTGATAATTCTAAGTCCAAGATCATTTGTAATTTAATTATCGATGAAATGGCTATCCGTCAACAAAAAATTTTCGATGGAAAGAAGCATGTTGGGTTTGTTGATTATGGATTAGATGACACAAACGATACACAAAATCTAGCATCCTCCGCATTGGTTCTACTTCTCGTATGTTTTAATCAAATATGGAAGATACCTATTGGATATTTTTTTACTTATGGGCTATCTTCAGTCAAACTTGCAAATATAATAAATTTGGCACTGACAAAATGCGCAGAAATTAACGTAGAAGTAGCATCAGTAACATGTGATGGCAGTCAGACCAATATTGCTGCAATGCGAGTTTTAGGATGTAACCTAAACGACGCAAATAACTTGAAAACTACTTTCAAACATCCTACAACAGGAAACGATGTGGTGCTATTGTTAGACGCTTGTCACATGCTCAAACTAGTGAGAACAGTTTTCAATCAAAGAAAATATTTTTAAACAAAAATAATGACAAGATAGAATGGAAGTATGTAAAACGTTTACAGGAAATTCAAGAAATTGAAGGGCTTAGAACTGGCAACAAATTAACCAACCGCCATATTAATTTTCGAAATCAAATCATGAAGGTTAAGCTGGCATCACAGCTGCTAAGTAATAGTGTGGCTCAGTCTCTTCATTTGGCTAAGGACTTGTCTTCTGAATTTTCAAAAAGTGAATCCACTGCGGAATTTATTAAAATACACAATGATGTCTTTGATGTATTAAATTCCAAGGGACACCCCCAAGCTTACGGCTATAAGAAAAGTTTCAAACCCGAAACAAAAAATGATATATACGCATTGATTGAAAAATATAAAGAGTATGTTACGAACCTAAGTGTAGAAGTGACAACAAAAAAAACAATTAAGCGAAAGGGTCAGATACACAAAATAATTATTAAAAAAAATATGAAAAAAGTATTAGATTGTAAATTTAAAACGGGATTTTTGGGTTTTCTAATTTGTCTGGAAAGTTTAAAAGTATTGTATGCAAGGTTGATTGAGACTAACGTAATGAAATATATCGCAACATATAGACTTTCACAAGATCATCTAGAATTATTTTTTGGTTGTATCCGGCAAAAAGGCGGTTACAATAACAATCCTAATGTTGTGCAGTTTAAATCAGCCTACAAAAAATTATTAAACCATCTTGAATTAAAAAACAGTTTTAGAGGCAACTGTGTGCTCCTTGAAAAAATTAATGTCTTATGTTCTACAACATCTACAATTGATAAGGACCATATAGAAGAAATCAACAAGTCTTCCTTTGATCGTCGCCATGACGACATTGACGAGGAAAAACCACAAACCATAAAGAATAATCAAAATGAAACAGATTTAGAAAAAGAATGGGTCGTGCTACAACACGAATGATAACATTTTTACAAACATAACAAAACAAGTCATTGGATATATTTCCGGCTATATTGTTGACAAAGTTGGTCAAAATCTTAAATGTGAAATATGCATCAAAGCTTTACTAGCTACAGAACTGGAGTGGTTTCATAAGCTAATTAATATAAAAGATAAAGGAGGTTTATGTTATCCATCAAAACATGCGTTTGAAATATGCATGAGTTGTGAAAGCACTATAAGACATGCCATAAAACTTTCCGAAACTAAGTCTTTGTCTACTAAATTTGGTCTTATGACATTAGCTACAAAAACATTAAAAGTGCTTCAAGGAAATATATTATTAAAAGAATTTGCAATACACCCGGGGAATCATTTATCTTCAATACAAGTTGATCATTCCCTTTTATTGATTAATGCCATTATTTATAAGTACTTAAAAATAAGATTGTACCACGAAAGTAAATTATACACTCAAACACACAAAAAAGAATCCAAAAGGCAATTATATAACAAACTGATGCTTCATAGCGGAGTTTGAGAGCATGGACTATTATGAATATTTAAGCGGATTAGTATTACAGATTAAAACCATTTATATTATCTTACAAATAGACTTCCGCAGAGTCACGCCTGAATCCATTAACTATCCTCAGTATTGTTGCAAAAAAAATATAAAAACTTTTTAAAGTTGTTAAGTAGTTTAGAAATTCTATAAACAAGAAAATCAACGAAATTTATTGATAACCAAAGTTTTTGTAGCTAATGTCATGAGACTAAATTTAAGAGACAAAAACTTGGTGATGATTTCACAACTTATGCATATTCAACACAGATCTCGCTTAAGAAACCTAAAATTGTTTTTTTTATTTGCTTTATTTTTTGTTTGATTTATTAGTACAATAAAAATAATATATAAAAACATATTTTATTTCATTACTTATGCTTACTTCTGTTCATCTAATAAGAAAATATACAAATTTAAAATAAAAACAATTTACTGCAACTTTAAAAAAAAACTCCTTTATATTGCTCATTTTGGGTAAAATTTCATAAAGTATGCAACACCAACCCGCCACTGCATGTTTGTGTGTCTATCTTTATCTAATCTTAGGGACGATATTGTTTTCCGCGACTTGTGTAAGTGAGACAGATATATGTTTACTTAAAAATTTTAATGATTTCAAAGCTACGTCGTCGCATTTGGATAGTGGTTACACTTTGTTCGACGCGCGGCAATGTGGTTTGCTCCTCTAGTCTTGTATAACTCAATGAAAGGACATCATCTTTTTTGGTCCAAATATGAAAGTGCCTGCCAATAAAAAAATATACTGTATTCCGTTAGAACTTGTCCCCCTGAGTATTTATTATTATGACACCAAAGCTGTAGGGTCATTGTCCTTGGTTTTATTGGAGTTCAAAAAATTCAACATCTTCATACATTTTCAGTGAATTTAATAAACAAAAACAAATGATTTGTTCTACCATATTTTTATTTTGAACATCGTTTAGTAAAAAATATATTGGTTCTTGACCTATTTCTGACAAGATAACATTTAAACCACTAATATTACTGCATAATCGGCTGGGATGCCGGGACTTTTTCCTAGAAAATGGCAATAACAATGGCCGCGCAGGTAAACACTCACGCGAACAATGGAATACACTCATTCGTTTGCTAGCATTCGCGTTTATTGTTTAGTACCGAAAGCAACGCTGCCGTGTATGTCTGTGTGATGCCCACTAGTTCTTGTGCTTCGATTTGTTTTGTTTTTGTTATCTCCGTTGTTAAGTTTGAACATTGCTGCGAGTCATGGCAGAGTTGTGTATCGCGTGCCGTGCATCGACAGAGAATCGGCGAAGATATGATTGGGTTTCCAGAGAAATGCAATATATTGATATCGCCCAAATAGTGATAGAAGATATAGTAGCTCGACAGTTGGAGCCTACTGCGTCCATTTGTCGACCCTGTTGGCAAAGAACGGAACGAACGCACCAGCGACTTATTTGGGAGGCTGAACAGAAAGCTGATCAAGACCGTGATCCATCGGAAGTTCCAAATTCAAGACCAATTTCGCTGATTTTGCCAGGTCTTCTTCGTGCTCCAAACACCGCAAATAGTTGCATTTTCCTACATTGTAGAAATGAATCTCGCCGTCGTGTTCCAGAGAACATAATTTTTCGCATGGTATGCCGCTACAGCTATTTCGTGCCAGAAAGCGCGCGTGTCTGTAATGAACACGTGGAGTAAAATCTGTGGCATTTACTTCCTGTACAAGACAACTCACTGAGGAATTCACTGCAGCTCAAATAATGACTATCGTGTCGATGTTACAAAGACATATTACGGAGGAAATACTTGATTTTGAGCAGTATGAAAATATAGCACCAGCCGAGTTTCATTCTTGGACAGGACTGACTCAAGGTCAGTTTACTGAATTATTAGACAGTTTACCAAGTCTGAGAACTAAAAAGAATAAAAGAACCGTACTGGCGGCAGTATTAGTCAAGTTAAGAACATGTGACTCGAACGCGCGACTTGCTAATATTTTTAAATGTAGCGAAACAGCGTTTCATACGTGGTTAAAAATCGGACGCAACGCTCTGTTAGAAGATTTGGTGCCCTTAAATGTTGGGTTTGACCATATTTCCCGTGAGGATGTAGCACACAGGAATCTTTTTCTACCCAACAATCTGTTTGGGAACCCATCGAGCCCAGAAGATGAAAGGAAAGCTATCACGATTTGTGATGGCACGTACATCTATCTGCAAAAAAGTGGAAATTATTTTTTCCAACGCAAGACTTACAGCCATCACAAATACAGAAACCTCCTAAAACCATTCCTCTTGGTTTCTTGTGATGGACACATTATCGAAGTTAACGGACCATATGCTGCCACCACGTCTGACGCAGATATAATGAATAATATGCTTAATAATGCTGACAGTGCCTTCCACTGGTTTTATAGGAGTGGCGATGTTTTTATTCTGGACCGTGGTTTTCGAGACTCAGCAAGAAATCTGGAATCTTGCGGATACGTACAACATATGCCTCAAACAAAGTATCCAAATGAGACACAGCTAACCACGGATCATGCCAATAAGTCCAGACTGGTAACAATCTGTCGTTGGGTGGTTGAAGTGGTCAACGGCAGGTTCAAAAGAGATTTTCGCCTGTTGCGAAATGTATATAATAACAGAGCTCTTCCCAGCATATTCGATATATTAATTCAAGATAGCAGCGGCGATGATAAATCGTTTTCGTGTTTTGATTGAAGATAATCCAAATGCTGCTGCGATTTTAGAGATTATCCACCAAAGAATTAATATGCAAAATAGATTAGCAGATCTTGTAATACGCCATAACTACGATCGCAGACGCGCTCAGTTTACTTTAATGACTGCAGATATGCCAGAATTTGTAGATTTTCCAAGAATGGATGAGAACGAATTACTATTATTCGCTCTGGGCGTTTATCAACTAAAACAGGCCAAAAGCTACTACGATGAGCACGTCCTTGACAATGGAGCATTCACAATTGAGCTCAGCAATGAGTTATCAAATGAAGACTTGGCGGAATTGCAGGGAAATGATTTATAGATGATAAGAGGCCGACTGTAATCGCGGCATGTTAGAGCAAGACAGTATTATGTCTACATTATAATCGATAGGTCGTTATCAGGCCGACAAGCAATCGCTCACTATTATTGTTCGTGCATCATAGGAAAGCGAACAATTGGATGCTGCTCCCATATTATGTGCATTATATGGTACATGAGCCATGCACGACATTTGCCAGCAATAACCCCTCCAGCTTATGGATTGGAGAACATTATTGTTGTACCAGACGATGATGATTTTATAGTGTTTAATTAAACAAAATAACCCCTGTATACGTATTTTACTTATAATCCTCAAAACACAAAACAAGATCAACATGTCCAAAATAGGTCATCACAAATCATTTGTTTTTGTTTATTAAATTCACTGAAAATGTATGAAGATGTTGAATTTTTGAACTCCAATAAAACCAAGGACAATGACCCTACAGCTTTGGTGTCATAATAATAAATATTCAGGGGGACAAGTTCTAACGGAATACAGCATATTTTTTTATTGGCCGGCACTTTCATATTTGGACCAAAAATGTATGAAATCCCGATGATGTCATTTGTCAATATTTCAAAAAGAAACAAGACACTAAAACCATTGATTACCCCAGGAGTAATAAGATCTATTAGGAAGAGAGAGGCTTCATAAAAGATTTAAAAAAATACCGAAAAATGATGAAGTAAGAGAAGTATATAAAAATATAGGAATATATGTACAAACATTATCAAATCGTTATAAAGGCAGTATTATCAAAATTAAGTAAAACGAAACTTAACTCAAAAACACTTGGAAATTAATAAAAGACGTTTGTTATTTAAATACACCTAGAAATACATCCGCCGAATTAAGTAAAATTGCCGAAGCACCAAAAGTATCTCTCAACATAGTCAATAATTTCTTTATATCAATTGGAAGTCGTTTGGCCAATACTATCCTAAAACAATTAAACAAAACTGACCTTCAACTTGCCAGGGAAGCTAATCAAATTGGTCCAGCCCAATATATGTCATTATTTTTAACAGATCCGATGTGAAGAAGTTAGACTCATAATTAGTAGCCTTAAGTGCAATTGTGCTTCGGGATGGGATGATATTTCTGTAGGTATTTTAAAAAAATTTGACACCTTGTTAGCACCTCACATAGCCCATATATGTAACTTAAGTTTTCTATCTGGTGTTTTTCCGGACCAATTTAAACAAGCATTAATCTGTCCAATATATAAAGCAGGAGACAAACCATCTCCATCAAATTATAGGCTTATAGCTCTATTATTATCACTTTCTAAGATACTAGAGAAGCTCGTAAATAGACGACTAATAAAGTACCTAGAAAACAACAACTTTCTTGCTGAAAATCAATATGGCTTTAGAACAAATCGTTCAACCGAAGTGGCGGTTTTTAATTTGACCACTAAAATATCATAATATTTAGATGAAGGTAAAAAGTGTTTAGGAGTTTTCCTAGATTTTCAAAAAACATTTGACACAGTATCTATTCCTGTCCTTATAACCCATCTTCAGAATTTTGGCATTCGAGGAATAGCGTTGGACTGGTTTATAGATTATCTCTCCAACAGAAACCAAAAAGTACATATTAATGGCTGCCTCAGTGATACTGCTATCTGCTCATATGGAATTCCGCAGGGCAGTACACTGGGACCAACCCTCTTTTTGGCATAAATTAACGACTTGTGTCACTTAAATATTCATGCCGCAGACCTTTTCATGTTTGCAGATGATACAGTCTTACTCTTTCATGGTCCAAGTTGGGATGCTGTTAAAAAATCCACTAAAGAAGGACTATTTAAGGTTACTAGTTGCTGGAAGATAACCTATACATTACCACTAAAACAAAATTTCTATGTTTTTCAAAAACTGCTGCTTGCAATCCACGACACGAATTTAAAAAAATAATTCACACGCATCCTTGTAATAGAAACTTTAACACTCATTCAGCATGTGAGTGTCACACTCTAAGTAAAGCTGACACAAATTTCTAACAAAATCAGAAAGTTATTATATCTTTAAGAATTTAAAACAGTTGCAAACAAAAATCTATTACTACAAACGTACAAAGCGTTGTGCCAGAGCTTTATCATTTTATATTTATTGCGTATGTTCTTGGGTATGCGCCGCTAAAAACATCTTATGGAATTAGAGTGAGCTCAAAGGGCTGTACTAAAAGTAATACTTTCGCTTCTTTATAGATTTAACTGAAGTACTAAGTGTTCGCAAATTATTTATATATCAATGTCTTAGACGCTTTCATAGATGTGGTGTTCCGCAAATACAAAAAATCAAAAAGAACTGTACGTAAAAGTATCCCCAAAGTTAAATCCATATTTGGCTAAAGGAATTATAATAACGTAGCTCCCATAACTATATGTGCACTGCAACAAACACGCTACTTACACACACACACACACACACACACACACACACACACACACACAAACACACACACACACACACATACACGCACACACACACACACACACATACACACACACATGTATATAGTGTTAACTGAGTATTAAATATATATCAATATTTCTCTAATGTACTTCTGATACAAAGAGTTACTGATTGGGAAGGAACTGACTCCTGAAATACAGGGTATCCTAGTTTGCTCAATGATATTGTATGAAATTAAAAGTGTCAAATATTATTACTATTATGTTGCTTACGCATCTACACAGCGGCACCAGTGTATCGACACGTGTACAATTTGATGGTATGCGTAAATGCAATGAACACAAATGCTTTAGTGTGCGTGTATAGTGTCGCGATTCAATTGTATTTGTAGTGAAGTATACAATAGTGTGTTTTTTGCGGCCCATGAAAATGACAGACTTTTTGTTTAGGAATTAACGCTCTTGGCCTCGTACAACAAATTTTCAAAAAAGGTTATTCTCACTGATAGCAAGAGTGCTCTTGAAAAATAATAAGAGTCCTCTTGAATATTGCTCGATGCATCTCTGGTCTCTGAGGTGTATCGATAGCTTATTCGATATTAAGTGAAATACTGAAACTTCAATGTAAAAACCGTGAGTTAGTATTGCAGTGGATACCGTCACATATTGGTTTACAGGGGATTGAGGAGGCTAATAAGCTGGCGGAATTGACAATCACTCAAGGAAGAGAATGTAATATATATCCAGATTATTCAGAAATGTTTATTAAATATAAAGAGAAATGTTACACACTTTGGAAACAATATTAGGCCACAAAAAAACGGGATATGGTGCAAACAATACAGAGTCAGCCTCCAAAAGTGCCTTGGTTTAATCAATATCTATTGAATAGAAAATCTGTTGTATTAGCAATGTGACTTCGTTCCGGACACATTCCGTGTAACAAGTTTGCTTTCATAATAAAAAAGAAATAATCTCCATTTTACGAAACATGCAAGAAAATAAAAGACATTAAACACTTGCTTGCGGAATGTTCCAAAAACCATCACGAAAGGAAACTACTAGTCGCCAAAATTGACATTAAAATATGTAACATAGGTGAAAATCAAAGAATTCTCTCTCAACTACTGTCAAATGCTGCTCAAATGGTGTATCATTTAGTTAACCAAATTTACAATTTGAAAGAATAAAAGCGAAAGCGAAAATATTTTTGTTGGATTCCATGCTATTGGCGGTAGATGCATAATTCGTATTAATTCCATTTTCTTTTTTCATTTTATTAAAGAAACAACAATTCTTTTTAATGCGATTTCTTCATCTACAATGCTCAAAATATATTTTACTTATTTCATACGTCATATTACTGGGTTGGTGTATTTTCTTTGGTCGAGAGTTAAACTTTTTATTTATATCAAATTATGTGGGTATTCTGGACATCGGATAATTGTTACATGTAGTTAGTAAAATCTAGAGATCTGTTGTTATTTCAACCTCTAATTTATCTTCTTGGTCTAACAGATATATTTTTACAAACGATAGGTTAAAATGATCTTCTCCAAGAGTTTCTAAAGCCGTGATGATATTATATGAAGTAGGTAGTGTTTATATTAATAAATGCGATATTTTATCCATTTCATATAAGCTGGCACCAGCCGAGTAATAGTTAATTCCGATACTATGTAGTCGAAATTGGTAAAATTTTGCAATAAGGTTGTAGCAGGTGTGAAATTCAGAAGTAATATAGAATAAGGGTGACAAACGAGCACAATAACAATAAGAGTAAGTGAATGCTGTGACCTATATACATCTACATCTATCCTGGACTAAGAATCAAGATGCAGAATGCTTTTGTCACTCCTGACTCTAATATGGAATGACTCGTTTCCAATAAAAAAGGGCTCCCTTTCTTTACTCACCGTAGGCAAACCTAGTTCAAGGTAAATCGAATGCGCCTAAAGGTACTACTTTACATTGACAGGCTAGGCACGTACGAGACAATACTTGACAATCTTTTCAGACACCAGCCCAAACAAAGGAATCGCTTTGCTAGTTTAGCAGCATTTGGACCAGGGTTACTCAAACAGTAAACGCTGTCAAAAAATTTCCCTTTATCATCATCATTACAGCCCTTTATAAGTCCACTTCTGAATATAGGCCTACCCCAAGGAATATCTGTAATATTTAGAAATAAAAGTTCTAGCCTGGACTTAAGTCCTAAAATAGTGCGATGTTGCTATCTGGCACCTATAATTATGCGAAGTAAAGATTCGTCGCTAAGAAGCTATGATAGCTCAGAATAATTAAACTGAACTGCAACGAGTTCTTTGAAATCCACTGGAATTTGTATTTAATTTACGCGCGACAGAGTGTCAGCAACGACATAGTCCTTACGATATTTGCTGGATGAAAACTAGATGCCTACACTGACGCGGCGTACAGTTAATTTTCCTCGAATTGAATACGTAACACAAAAGCTTGTTGTCAGTATAAACTACGAAGGAAAGTATTTTATTCCTTCGTATACTTCTGCTGCGATTGGCTATGCTTCTGCGAAAAGAATGCTAATGTCTGCCAA